ATCCTGATTACCCCAGTCACTGAATCAATCCAGCTCATAGAGGGCCTTCCCCTCCTGCGCTGTCCCTCTCCAAGGACCAGTCCCTCCTTACAACATGCCCAAAGTATGTCAGATGGTATTGCCTCCGCTGGCCAGGTTCACTCTGCTGATGCTGCCCTCAGACTGGCTTATGAGGGTCCTGTGGCTCCACCTTGTCGTCGTCGTCATCGTCGCCTCCATCAGTTTGTCTTGGTACAGCAGAAGCAGTATCCAACTAGGTTGCCACAAAGCTTATTTCAGGGTCCCGGATGATCTGTTATACATACAGATTGAAAAGGTATGGAGACACAGCACAGTAAGATAAAAGTAAATAACAACCCAATTGAAAAATGGACACAGGATATGAACAGACACTTCACCAAAGAAGACACTCAGATAGCCAACAAGCACATGAAGAAATGTTCAAAATCCCTAGCTCTAAGAGAGATGAAAATCAATACAACTATGAGATATCATCCTACCCCAGTTACAATAGCCAAGTTCAATAGAGCAACAAACAACAAATGCTGTAAGGTTGTGGAGAAACTGGAACTCTTATTCATTCTCGGTGGGAAATGGTAAAATGGTGCAATGACTATGGAAGGCAGTATGGTGCTTTCTCAAAAAGTTGGAAATACAAATACCATTTGACCCAGCAATTCCACTACTGGTAATATACCCTAAAGAAACCAGAACTGCCACCCAAGCAGATATATGCATATCCAGGCTTACTGCAGCTTTGTTCAGAATAGCAAAGATGGAAACAACCCAAGTGCTCAACAATAAATAAATGGATAGAGAAACTCTGGTATATTCACACAATGGAATACTATGCAGCACTGAAAAACAAGGAACTCATATTATACAAAATGGGTGACCCTGGAGGACGTAATGCTGAGTGAAATATCTTAGTCACAAAAGGGAAAATACCGCACAATGTCACCATTATAAAATGAGACTGGGGGCACAAAAGGACAAATATTACAAGATGCCACTGTTGTAGAATGGGACTGTCCTTGGGGTTGGGGAGAGACTGAGTAAGATGGGTTCAATAATGTATACTGCACTGAAACAGAGGAGGGAGAGAACTGTTTAAAAGAGATATATAACTGGGTATTTCTGTCATCACAGGAGACTAGAGCGAGGGCTTCATGGTGGAGGGGACCTGGGGGAGGGTTTGTAAAACAATGAAAGAATCTCTTATTTTACTTTTCCATAATTTTTGGACTCATGTACTTATAACTTGTTAGTCAAATTTGTGTCTTCTAGGTTGCAACACCCCCATGATACATCTTCAAGGATATGAACATGTACGGCCAAGCACAATCAATAAGAGTGCATCTAAATTCCAAAATCAATCTCCATAATAGTCTATGTGTTTCCTACTGCCAAAGGGGCCCTTTAGAGTAGTGAGAGAAGATCTTCACCCTGAAACCCACAGCGTCCCTTTTCAGCAGGAAGTAGCTAAGAGAATACGCCATCCCCCTTTCCTTATGACTCAGGGTGAAGTCTCTCTCAGGGAGGAGTGATAGGGAATGGCAAAGGACACACTGACAAAGAAGATTAATCAGAACTGGCTTTGACAAGCACTGTGGCATTTGGACAAGAACAAACTGGGAGGAGGGTAGAGAGAATAGTGCAACAATGAATGAATGGAAACCCAAAATCTCTGTAAATGTTTATGAAAATTAATAAAATATAGAAAAAAAATGAGACTGGGGGAAAACTAAGAAAAGAGAGGCTAATATACACTGTATTGAAACAGATGAGGAAAGGGCTATTTCAAAAGAATATATAGTGCAACCAGTGTAAGACCCCCAAGCCTGAAGGCTTCCTCCCGCCACCCTTCCCACCTCTGGGTGGTGACCGCGGCAGAGGTGGCCCTGGTGGCATGCGTGGCGGCAGAGGTGGCCTCATGGACCGTGGTGGTCCAGGTGGAATGTTCAGAGGTGGTCGTGGTGGAGACAGAGGTGGCTTCCGTGGCGGCCGGGGCATGGACCGAGGTGGTTTTGGTGGAGGAAGACGTGGGGGTCCTGGGGGGCCCCCTGGACCACTGATGGAACAGATGGGAGGACGAAGAGGCGGGCGCGGAGGACCCGGGAAGATGGATAAAGGCGAGCACCGCCAGGAGCGCAGAGACCGGCTCTATTAGACAAGACCCGCAGAGCTGCATTGACTACCAGATTTATTTTTTAAACCAGAAAATGTTTTAAATTTATAATTCCATATTTATAATGTTGGCCACATTATGATTATCCCTTGTCTGTACTTTAGTATTTTTCACCATTTGTGAAAAAGAAAAACCACAAAACATTAAAACAAGTTAAATGGTAGTGTGCTGAGTTTTTCTAATTTCTTTTTTTTTTAAAGATGGTTGTTTAAGACTAAACCAGTGGGATCCCCTTGTGAGCATGCTCAGTGTCGTTGTGGAGAATCAAGAGGGCCGCTAACTGTAACATTGTTCATGGTTGTGATATTTTTTTGTTGTTGTTGTTTTTTCCCCTTTCCTTTTTCTTTTTTTAAATAAAATTCCAAATGTTTATAAACAGTCAAAAAAAAAGAATATATAATTAGGCATTATTTGCCTGACAACAGTCCATAATAAGAGGTGCATACCAAAGCATACTTGAAGATGGGGGAGGAAGGAAATTGTTCAACAATGAAGGAATGTTATTTAAGAGAAAAGTGAACTGTGAGGAGGGTGGGTATGGAGGAAAATGTGCAACAATGAATGAATGGAAAGCCAAGTTTTCTGTAAATTTTCATTAAACTCTTAATAAAAATGTTTTCAAAAAAGAGATGCTAGCCTTAACCCTAAACATAGAGTGCCAAGTCGTGCCTGTCGAACACCTGTCATCTCTCACAGTGAATGAATGTAGCCCAAGACAGACCAATACAGAACTACTCCTGCTCCATAACATTAAAGGAAGGGGCCTCTGGGGATAACATTTTCAATAAGTAACTAAGCAGCTTTAGGTTACTTGGCTCCACAAACAACACTCTTGGTACCAGCATCCAGGAAATGAAAAGACAGATTGCATTGGGAAAGTCTGCTATCAGAGACCGCTCCAAAGTACTGAAGAGCAACGATGTCAGTCTGGAGACTAAGTTGTGCCTGATCCATGCCATGATCTTCACAATTACTTGCTATGCATTAGAAATATGGACAATGACTAGGGATGATAGAAAGAGAATTTATGTCTTTGAGCTGTGGTGCTGGAGAAGAGTATTGAATATACCATGGACTGCTAGGAGAACAAACAGGTTCATTCATCCTAGAGAGGGTGAGACCAGGCTGCTCCTTGGAGTCAAGGATTCTAAAGCTTCATCTGACTTATTTCGGACATGTTACAAGGTGGGACCAATCCTTGGAGAGGGACATCATGCTTGGGAGCATGGAAGAACAGACAGTTCAAGAGAGGAAGATTCTCGATGAAATAGATTGATTCAGTGCCTGGGGTAAGGGGGGTAGGTGTGTCAGAGGCCATAAGATCGGCACAGGATAGAGCAGGCATAAGGGCTGCTTTACATACATAGGGTTGCAATGAGTTGCAGGAGACTCTATGGCACATCACAGCAACATAACACAATAGTAGCAAATAGGAGGAGGGTGTATAAAGTTTGTAGTTGTTCTTGTTGTTATGTGCCATCAAATCATCTATGACTCATAGTGGCCTATGCACAACAGCTAAGGGCTCTGTCCTATCCTAAGCCAGTCTCTCCAACACGCCTATGCCCATTAGCCCATTACCTCAGTTACTATGTCAGTCCATCTCTGTATGGTCTTCCTCTCTTGCGCTGTCCCTCCACCTTTCCAAGCAAGATGTCCTACACCAGTCATTCCTGGCAACATGTCCAAAGTATGTCAGGTCTTGAAAATCTTTACTCCAAGGAGAAATTTTATTTCACCCTCTTCAGTACATACCTGTTTGTTCTCTTGGCAATCCATGATATGTTCAATACTCTTTTCCAGCACCACAACTCAAAGGCATCGATTCTTCTTCTGTCAATCTTATTCATTGTCCAGCTCTCTAATACATAGCAAGCAATTGTGAGGACCATGGCTTGAATCAGGCACACCTTAGTCTCTACACTGACATTATTGCTCTTTTGTCCTCTGGGGAAGTCTCTGACAGCAGATTTAGTGGAATGGAATCTTATCCTCTACCTGGACCTACATATCTATATTGAGCAGTTTATGTTGTGCTACTGGACGTTGAACATGATGGCACCATTAGAGGGGTTTTATAGTATTCTGAATACCATATGCTTCAGTGACACATCACCAGGAGTGGTTCAGAGAGGAGGAAGTAGCACTTCTCCTAGGTTCTGTATGGAGCACAATGCCACAATGGTGCCTGAGGGAAGAACGGTTTAGGGTAGTCTGGAAACATTTCAGCTGATACAGGATTTTTATGATGGACAAGTGAAATAGGAGGATTATGTAGGGAGCTGTGTGGGACACAGGTGTGACTGAAAGAAGGGGGAATCAGTGACAAGAAATAACATATGCCACATTTAGCATTTCAGATGACTGTCTCATTTATCAAAAAACTCTACACAGAATGTGCATATATACAAAGGATGGATGAGGCACTCAGGCCTTAAAGTCAGCTCATGTGCCGAGGAATGAATCATCTTCAAATGGTCATTGTTGAGTTACTTATTTGTTTTGTATCTTTGCTTCATTGTCTGTAAAAGAAAGAAAATATTATTGACTACTTAAATATAAAACAATAGGCTTGAACATATCAGCAACTGAGAGAATGATGCAGGACTAGGAATTGGCTTGTTCTATTGCACATAAGGACAACATTTCTCAGAGGATCAAGAAGCAGAAACACCCCAGTTGAAGACTCCCAGTGTGCAGTTCAAAGGAACTAAAGTGCCTTAGAGAATTAGTTGACTCTGGTAGAGAAAATGAAAGGTGATACTAACATGTTATGTATCTCCTAAGAACAGAAACTAGCCTCTGTAGAATTCTTCTAAAATTTATACTTTCAATATTATCATCATAAGAAAACAGCAAACAAACTCAAATTTGGAGAAATATTACAAAATACATAATACACATACATACATATAATCTTCTGATGTGCCAAGACAAGACAGAGAAGTGGTCATGGTTTGGAGAAGTCCAAGACGACATGACAACTAAAGACAATATGAGGCTCTGGAATGGTCCTGTGATTTACAGCCTCCTGAAAACCCACTGAAGGGTTAGGTGTGTTGTTGTTGCTGTTGTTGTTGTTGTTGTTATGTGCCGTCAAGTCATTTGCAACTCATAGCGACCCTATGTACAACAGGCCTAAACCGTGCTCTATCCTGTGCCAATCTCATTGCCTCAGACACACCCATCCCGATTACCCCAGTCACTGAATCAATCCACCTCATAGAGGGTCTTCCCCTCCTGCGCTGTCCCTCTACTCTACCCAGCATGATGTCCCTCTCTAAAGACCTGTCTCTTCTTACAACATGTCCAAAGTATGTCAGACGAAGCCCCAGAATCCTTGCCTCCAAGGAGCAGCCTGGTTTAATCCTCTCTACGATGAATCTGTTTGTTTTCTTGGCAGTCCATGGTACATTCAATACTCTTCTCCAGCACCACAGCTCAAAGGCGTCAATTCTCCTTCTATCCTCCCTAGTCATTGTCCAACTCTCTGATGCATAACAAGTGATTGCAAAAACCATGGCCTGTATCAGGCGGACCTTAGTCTCCAGAGAGACACCGTTGCTCTTCAGTATTTTGGAGAGGTCCCTAATCTCAGACTTTCCCATCGCAATACGTTTTTTTATTTCCTGGCTACTGGTGCCAAGAGTGTTGACCGTGGAGCCGAGCAAACTGAAGCTGTGAACAATCTCAATCTCTTCGCCATCCATCCTGATGCTACCGATTGGTCCAGTGGTGAGAATTTTTGTCTTCTTGAAATTGAGCCTCAGTCCATATTGAAGGCTGCAGTCCTTGACCCTCTGCAGTAAGTGCATGAGGTCCTCCTCAGTTTCAGCGAGCAGGGTTGTGTCATCTGCATAACGCAGATTGTTGATAGATTGTCCATCAATCCTAATGCCACGCTTCTCCTCATAGAGCCCAGCCTCTCAGATAATCTGCTCTGCATACAGGTTGAAAAGGTATGGAGATAGGACACATCCCTGGCGTACACCCTTCCCAATTTTGAACCATGCAATGTTGCCCTGCTCTGTTCTGACGACTGCCTCTTGGTCCACGTATAGGTTTCGCATTAGCATGATTAAATGTTCTGGGATTCCCATTCTTCTCAGAGTCAGCCATGGTTTGTTATGATCCACGCAAATGCCTTTGCATAATCAATAAAACACAGATAGACATTCTTCTGGTATTCTCTACTTTCAGCAAACCTATGGTTAGCTGTGAGTCAGTTCTAATCTGCGGGCAGTGAGTTTTGAGGGTTTTTTTTTTCTTTTAATCACTACTATATTCTCAAAAAAAGTTGCTGATACAGGTTCACAAACACTAATGACCACAATATTCCAGCTAAAATACAAGATAATTGGACAAAATCAGCAAATTTGCAACTAAAATAATAGCATATGCTCATAGCACATGCAGACCAAACCATGTAATTTAATGTATTGTTGTTACTGGGTAATGACTAATAATGAGAAGAACGGGAATTCCAGGACATTTAATTATACTTTTACAAAATCTATACCTAGACCAAGAAGCAGTTGTCTGGACACAGCAAGAGAACGGCATGGTTTAAAATTGGGAAAGGTGAGGGTCAGGGTTTATCCTTTCTCCATATCTATTCAATCTGTATCTTAAGCAAAACATTTGAGATGCTGCACTTTATGAAGAAGAGTTTGGAGGAAGGATTGGAGGAAGACTCATCTGCTCTGAAGAACAAGAAGGCTGCACAGCACTGTGGTCTGGCATGGTCTTACCCTTCAAGATCTTGTTGATACAACTGATTGCAGCTTTCTTCCCCAAATCAAAGTCCTCAATAGTGATTTGATAACCTAGCTCGGTTATAACCTGCATTATATAAGATGACACAACCTCACTTGCTGAAAGTGAGGAAGATCGGAGGTGCTTGCTGCAGAGGATAAAGAAGTGCAGCCTTCAAAATGGATTACAACTCAACATCAAGAAACAAAAATCCTTACCTCTGGGCCAATAGACAACAACATGACAGATGGAGAAAAGATTGAAATTACCAATTATTTCATTTTGCTTGGATCCACTTTGGTACCAGCAGTCAGATCAGAAGACAGATAGCATTGAGAAAGTCTTGCTGTCAGAGATCATTCCACAGTTCAGGAGAGCAATTATGTCATTTTAAAGCCTACAGGACACCTAATTCAAGCCATAATCTTTCCAATCACCTGCTATTCATATGAGAGCTGGACAATGAATAATGATGATCGGAGAATTGATGCAAACAGATATATCTTAGAAGACGAGCAACCAGAATGATCCTTGGAGGCAAGGATGGTGAAGCTTCCTCGCATGTATTTTGGACATGTTGTTAGGTTATTCCTTCGAAAGGGATATCATGCTTGGAAATGTCAGTGAAGGAGAGGAAGACCCTCAATAAGATGGATTGATACAATGTCTGGCAATAGGCTCAAATATGTTAGAGATAAAGAAGATGGCACAAGATAGAAGAAGGTTCAGTTCTCTTGCTCATAGTGTAGCTATGAGTCGTACCGACTTGATGGTACTTCACAACAATGACTAAAACTAAAATGCATTACAAGGTTCATAGAACTTCAGCCTTGTGGACATATTGACACATGTTAGCTGGCCTTACAAAAAAAATTGTTTTTTGTTGCTAAGTCAGCTATTAAGTTGTTATTAAGTGCCATCGAGTCTACTATGATTCATAATGTATGAACCACCATTAGAACCTTGTCCTAGTCTATGCCTATCAACTACAAGGATTTTTTTTATGTATAATAACACGTTTCTGATGAAACATAGCACAAAAGTTTTATAGACAATCATTCTGGTGTCAGCTCCTCTTACAGTGTCACCCAGGGGTCTGTATTCCTTGCATCCCCAATGACTCCACTGAGAAAGGGTACTATTTATATTATTGCCAGTTTAAGCAAGGTGAAGATTCAGGAAGAACTGAAACAAGCAGCCCATGAGGAGTTAGCTTTTTAACTATGAATTGAGCAGGCAGAGGAGGGGTTCTTGCAATAGGCAGGGTAGAAGAACAAGAAGGCTGCACAGCACTGAGGTCTGGAATGGTCTTACCCTTCAAGATCTTGTTGATATAATTGATTGCAGCTTTCTTCTCCAAATCAAAGTCCTCAATAGTGATTTGATAACCTAGCTCGGGTGCTGGCGGCAGGATCAATGGGCCTCCTCGCTTACTGGGCAACAGCAGAGGAATCTTGCGTTTGCAAGGCCTGGAGCGGTCTCGTGTGAGTGCGGATTTCTCAAACTGTTGCTTTTGCTGAGGGGTAGTATCTAAACTCTTTTCTTCCTGTAGCCTCTCTTCCGGTATCACTGAGGCTGAACAGCTAATCTGATGATCTTCCTCATTCACTTTTTTTGCCGGCACTTGAGAATTGAGTATGTGTGAGCCAGAGGATCTGGCTGGCACACGTCTTTGCAGCAACAATAAGCCACGAGTGGAACTATATGAACTGGTAATTGCATTACGTTTGCTGCAAATAGGCATAAAAGAGACCTGGGGTGTATTAATCAGACTACCTTCTGAGCGGTTAGAACAGCTGTTTAGAGGCCCAGGCCTGGGTGCAAAGGAAGAAAGAACTCCATTGACCACCAGAGGCCTAAACGCAGACTGCGCATGCTCACTGGCATCAGTACCCGGCCTCTTGATGGCGATGAGGTCTTCCTCCTGCTTCAGTGGTTTTTCCTCAATGTCTCCAAGGACCTTAACGTCTTCCTCTTCCTGGGCGCTAAGTTTAGTGCTCTCTTTGAAGCCCTTCATTGGGGTATTCTTGACATATGGGCATAGAAGGTGACCAGACAGTGAGGACCAAATATAGAGGATGACCTGCTTCAGTGCCCAACGGAGTGTAAATTTCTCCTCAGTAGGTGCCATCTTTCGGGCCACTGAGGCGCTAAACATCTTGTGGCTGTACGCAGACACCCCTGGCTTCTCCTGATGGTCACTCTGGGGCACTGCCAAGGGAACCATTCCTTGAAATACGCGTTGTGGCAACCTATTTGGATACCGCTTCCGATGTGCCAATAAAAAGGTATGGCGGCGACGATTACGACGATGACAAGGCGGAGCCATACGATCCTCATAAGCCAGTCCGAGGGCAGCATCGGCAGAGTGAACCCGGCCAGCGGAGGCACCACCGCGGGCAGGGTGCACATGCTGGCCGGGTCTCCGTGGCAGGTCCCGGCTCCGCAGAGCTGGGAACGAAGATGGATGATGACGATGAGGCCGGCTCAGGTAGCTGCCCATGAAGAGCACTTGTACAGTACAGAGTCCTTCAAGGGAGTCAGCGGCTCTGGGAAGTTTCCGTTAGGCACCGCCGTCGAAGACCCAAACCTAAGCGCCACTGTCGGGTGTGGCGCCTGTGACGCACGTTTGGAACTCCTGAGCAAAGAAGGGGCGCGCGCCTAGCTGGGGCTCACTTGCGCCCTGGGCAACGCCAACTCCATCCGGAAGTACTTTCCAGACCCGCTGGTGCAACCTGAAGGTGTTGGGCGCAATGACAACAGTGAGACGCAGCTGCCCATCCCCAAGCCAGGTCCCATCTTCCTAGAGAACCGTTCAGGACTGAGGTCCTCTGAGCCTTGACCCTGGATCAGGCTCTGCAGAAGCTCTCCTACAAACAGAGTGTGGCTGTCAGCACCCGTCATCTCCCTGACGACGTTACAAAGAAGAGGGGAACCTCACTTGAGCGCAAAGGCATCAGCCGAATTCTGCAGGGTTTGAGGCATGCAGACCCCTGGGACCTGGAAGACATCCGTGGGAGTGGCCTAAGTATCCTGGGGTCCCTTCCGGTGCATCCCAGTACTTTCCAAGTGCTTTCTTCTTTCTCCACCATTAGTTTTCTAGAGTTGCCTTAACAAAATTACCCCAAATTGGGTGGCTTAACAAATTGGGTGGTTTATTCTTTCACAGATCTGGAGGCTAAAATCCCCCTCTCATCTTAATTCCCACTCCTAGATATAAAGACTCCTAGCCAACTCCTGAACTCTCACCAAGGGACTGTTGATTTAGATCTGCTGGCCTTTACATGTGCAATCCGAGCTGTAACCAGTGTGCCACCAAACTCCTGCCTGAAATAAAGGTGTCAATGGCAGGGGCGGTGCTTCCCCTGAATGAAAACCCAGCCTATTCCTCGCTCCTAGCTTCCGTGGGTTGCCAGCAATCCTTGGTATTCTTGAGTTGTATGTAGCACCACAAATACTAACCTCTACCTTTGTCTTCACACAGCATTCTTTATCTTTGTCTGCCTACATGACCCTAAAAGTCCAGAGTGAATTTAGGGACCACTCTCCTCTGGTAGGACTGCAAATTAAATAAACGGTGTTGTTGTTGTTGTTGTTGTTGTTGTTGTTGTTGTTGTTGTTATATGCTGTTGAGTCAACTGCGACCCATAGCGACCCTATGTACAGCAGCTCTGAAGCCTACCCTGTCCTGAGCCAGTCTCATTGATTCCAACACACCTATCCCATTGGCCCAGTTACTGTATCAATCTATCTCATCTGGGGTCTTCCTCTCCTGTGCTGTCCCTTCACCCTTCTGAGCCTGATGTCCTTCTATAAGGATTGGTCCCTCCTGGCCATGTGCCTAAAGTATGCACATTCTCAACACACTCCTTTCCTAATTTTGAACCACACAGCTTTTCCTTGCACTGTTCTGAGCACTGCTTCTTGGTCCAAATACAGGTTTTGCATAAGTACAATCAACTATTCTGGGATTCCCATTCTCCTCAAGGTTAGCCACAATTTGTTGTGATCCACACAGTCAAATGTCTTTGCATAGTCATTGAAACACAGACAATTCCTCCGGTACTCTTTGCTTTCTGCCAAGATCCATCTGATATTGGTGATAATGTCTAAACCCAGCTTGTATTTCTGGTAGTTCTCTGTCAATGTACTGTTCCAGTTGTTTCTGGATAATCTTTAGGAGGATTTTGCTTGTGTGTGTTATATTAGTGTTATTGTTTGGTAATTTCCACACTTTGTCAGGTCATCTTTTTTTAAGAATGGAAATAAATATAAATCTCTTCTAATCAGTTGGCCAGGTAGTTTTCCTCCAGATTTCTCAGCACAACCTATTGAGCACATCCAGGGCAGGACACACTCATTACACTTACAAAAACTCTAATCCCAAATAAACTCACATTCTGAGGTTCCAAGTCAACAAAGTTTTACAACTCTCCAATATATGCCACCCTACCTGGGAAAAATTTCTAGACATATTTATAGCAACCAAAAATCAGGGCTTAGACATATTAAATTGTTATTCTTTTCAACTAGCAAGGTCATTGAACCAGAAACAGTATTATCTGGTGACTAAAACAGAATTCTTGTTTTGACACTCATACTTTGCTAATACCATCTCCTTATTTTTCTATTACTTCTCCTAAACAGAAAGTTTCTGGAGTTCTTTCTGCCATTCCTTTCCAGTAAGTTAAATCATACTTTAGTAATTTTCATTCTAGTAAAAAAAAAGAACAAATTACACAATTGTGGTTACGAGTAATTGTTTTGACATGAACATTAAAAGTTGAATTCTAGATCAACACAATGCAGTAATTATTACATACTCAGGTCTCATTGAAACTTATTTAGTCCATCAAGTGCCCTCAAATCTTACATAAATCCTAGACAGTTGCTAACATAATCAGGAAGCACACTTTAATCCAGTTACTTCTCTGAGGATTCAAAGACTAGCCCATCATTTCTGAACATGGTTTTCTCCATTCTTTTGCTCCATGGGACATGCAATTAAATATAACATGGCCTACGAAGTATCATTTCCTCTGAAACTGGGAATGCAAGTGACTTCTGATTTTTTTCCTAATTTTTGTTTCTTCTCCATTCCCACCTTACATGTCATTAGCACTTCTGCATGACTCTACCATCCATTTAGGTGTTAAAATTAAAGATGATGTCACCTTGGGGAAAAAGGATAATTTTTTTTTAACTAGTTTATTTACAAAACTCAAATACAAATTCTTTCAATTTCCCTCACCCCACCCACCCATCAAATAGTACAACCCAATGGTTAATACCCTCTCCACCTACACATCCACATCCCTCTACTTCCAGCCTCTCCCACCCCTCCTGGATCCTTATACTCATTTTACAATAACGGTTTTACACAGTATTTATCCTTGTGGGACTGAGTTAGTTCACTTAGCGTAATGTTCTCCATTCCCTCCATGTTAGGTAATAATTTACAAAGTTATTACTCTTTCATGCTGCATAGTATTCCAAAATTTCTCAGTCCATTTGTTTGTGGTTGGACATTGGGCTGTTTCCATGTTCTTGTGATGGTGAATAATTCTGCTATGAACATTGGTGTACAAATCTCAGTTAGTGCCTCATTTCTCATATTCTCAGTGTATATTCCAAGTAGTGGAATAGCTGGGTCATATGGAATTTCTCATGTTCAGCTTTTTGAAGAAGCACCAAACTGCCTTCCAGAATGGCTGTACCATTTTACAATCCCACCAACAATGTATAAGAGTTCCTTTCTTGCCACATCCTCTCCAAGATCTATTACTTGCTGCCCTGTTAAGCATTGCCACTCATACTGGAGTGAGATGGTACCTTATTGTGGTTTCGATTTGCGTCTCTCTTATTGTCAGTGATTTGGAGCCTTTCTCCATGTGTCTGGCATTCTAATATCTCCGTCTGTGAAAAGTCTTTCCAGGTCTTTTGCCCATTTTGTAATTGGGTTTCAGTCTTTTTCTTGTGGAGGCCCAAGAGTATTCTGTAAACTTTTGGTACAAGACTCTTGTCTGAGATGGTATTACCAAATATTTGTTCCCAGTCTGTAGGTTTTCTTTTCATCTTGTTGGGGAAAGGCTTTGATGTGCACAGGGATTTAATCTTTAGAAGATTAAATTTTATCCTCTTTAGATTGTGCATTTCTGATTGTGTTTGGCAGTCTCTTTATACCTTGGGCTAGCACATCTAAACTTGATCTCAATTTGTCTCTTATGAATGTTATGGTTGTGGGCTTTACTCCCTGGTCTCTGATCAACCTTGAGTTGATTTTTGTGTATGGTGTGAGATGTAGATCCTGTTTCCGTTTTCTGCAGGTGGAAGTCCAGTTTTACCAGCACTATTTGTTGAAGAGGTTGTCATTTCCTTGTCAAACATCAGTTGACCATAGATACCTGGATCTATTTCTGGGTTCTCAATTCTGTTCCATCAGCCTATGTGTCTGTCATTGTACCAGTACCATGCTGTTTTGGTTACCACTATGTGTAGTAGGTTTTGAGGTCAGGGAGTGCTATGCCTCCAACTTCATTTTTGTTTCTCAGAAGTGTTTTGCTTGAGGGGTCTCTTGTCTCTCCAAATAAAATTTATAATTTCCCTTTCAATCTCCTTGAAAAATGAATTTGGTATCTGAATTGGGATTGCATTGAACATGTAGATTGCTTTTGGTAGGATTGTCATTTTCACAATACTGAGTCTTCCTATCCATGAACAGGGCACATTTTTCCATTTCTTTATGTCTTTTATTGTGTCTTTCAGAAATGCTCTATAGTTTTCTTTGTACAGGTCTTTTGTATCTCTAGCTAGGTTCACTCCCAAGTATCTCAATTTGTAATTGCCTATTGTAAATTATATTGTTTTCTTTATTCCCTTCTCTGAGTTCTCTTTGTTACTGTAGAGGAGTCCTATTGATTTTTGGATATTGATCTTATATCCTGCCACTCTACTAAATTGGCCTAGTAACTCTAATAGGTTTTTTGTTGAATCTTTGAGGTTTTTTTCTGTACACTAACATATCATCTGCATATAGCGACATTTTAACCATTTCTTTGCTAATCTGGATGCCTTTTATTTCCTTCTCTTGTCCTATTGCCCTAGTAAGCACTTCCAATACAATACTGAAAAGTTGTGACAGTGGGCATCTTTGTCTGGTCCCTGCTTGCAAGGAAAATGTTTTTAGTTTTTCTCCATTGAGAATTATATTGGCTCTTGGTTTTGCATATGTACTTTTCACTATGTAGAGCAAATTCCCTTCTATTTCAATTTTGCTGAGTGTCTTTATCAAGAAGGGTTTTTGGATTTTGTCAAATGCCTTTTCTGCATCAATTGTTAAGATCATATGGTTCTTGTTATTTACTTTGTTAATATAGTGACTTGCGTTGATTGTTTTTCTTATGTTGAGTGATCCCTGCATACCTGTTATGAATCCTACTTGGTCATGATGAATTTTTTTTATGTGCTTTTGGATCCTATTGGCTAGGACTTTTTAAGGATTTTTGCATCTATATTCATCAGATATTGGTAATATCTTTGCCTGGTATTAGGATTATGCTTGCTTCATAGAATGACTCTGGAAGTGTCCCTTCTTTTTCAATTTTTTAAAATAATTTAAGTAGAATGGGTGTTAAATCATCTCTGAACATTTGGAGAATTCAGCTGTGAAGCCCTCTGGTCCATGACTTTTCTTATGGGGAAGTTTTTATATGATCTTTTCAATTTCTTCTCTTGAGATGGGTCTGTTCAAGTGTTCTGTATCTGTCCTTGTCAATCTGGGCATGGGATGCGTTTCAAGGAATCTGTCCATTTCCTCTAGGTTTTCAAATTTACCAGAGTATAGCTTTTTATAGTATTCTGATATTATCGTTTTAATTTCTTCTGGTTCTGTTGTGATGTCACCTCTGTTGTTTCTTAATCAAGTTATCTGTGTCTTTTCTTTTTTTCTTTTGTTAATTTTGCCAGTGGTTTGTCAATTTTATTGACCATTTAAAAAAAAAAACACTCCTGGTCTTATTGATGGTTTCA